TTTCTGGGATTCTAGGGTCTTGTGTCAGATCAAGGGGTTAATTAATCCAGATAGCTGTTCTTTGCTGTTGCCAGTTTCCAGGAACATGGTGGCACATAATCCCATTTTAATTCTACAAAGATTCTATTACCAAAACAAGGGTAGGAAACATGACTAGTGGTGACCATTCTTGGTTTCAATGCAAGATTTTTTGTTGAAGAATGGAGGCTATTCAGGCTGGAAAGTAAGAGAGAAGCCATTTGAATTCTTGCTCTGGTTGTATTTTAACCCACTGAATCAATGTGTTGGATAACATGGCTTATACAGATTTAGACAATGGATTTGTACAGATTAAGCATTGTGCAAATGTAGCCTGTACATGTTTTGAAAGGCACCTATTTAAAGTAAAAGGGATCAGGATGGAAATTTTAAGAGATTTGCAATGCAGCATTGCTGGGTGGGAGGGGATAGGGGTCTAAGGTAGCTCATTTTGTGGGCTGCCACAAAGAAGAGGGAGTCAAGCTATTTTCCAAAGCGCCTGAAGGCAGGACAAGAAGCAACGGATGGAAACTAATCAAGGAGAGAAGCAACCTAGAACTAAGGAGAAATTTCCTGACAGTTAGAACAATTAACCAGTGGAACAATCTGCCTCCAGAAGCGGTGAATGCTCCAACACTGGAAGTTTTTAAGAAAAGACTGAACAGCCATTTGTCTGAAATGGTATAGGGTTTCCTGCCTGAGCAGGGGGTTGGACTATATGACCTCCAAGGTCCTTCCCAACTTTATTATTATTATTATTATTATTATTATTATTATTATTATTATTATTATTATTATTATTATTATTATTATTATTATTATTATTATTATTATTATTATTATTATTATTATTATTATTATTTGTACTCAAAGTACAAATCAGATCTGGACTGTGAGAATCTGGGTAACCACTAGATAGCAAAAGGGTTTTCTGTATCTCTGCTGCCACCTAGTGGTCATGACATTACCTGCAGTACAAATATTGTACTGTACTGTAACCCTAATTCGGTGGTGGCAACCCTATGGCACACGTGCCAGAGGTGGCACTCGGAGCTCTCTCTGTGGGCACGCGTGCCATTGCCCCAGCCCCGTCTCCCCCTGCGGCCCCTTCCTCTCCAGAAGCCCCCCTGGAGGAGAGTTGCCCCCAGGCGCGGCCTGCATGGAGCAGCGCAGCCAAGGACATAGCCGGGCAGCAGGGACAAGATTCCGCCCTCGTGCTCCATAGCGTGCAGATGATGCTGCGGGGTGTGGGCGGAGGGTGTGGCTGCCATGGCGCTGCAGGGCTGCCTGGGTGATCTGCTAGGGTGGGCCATTGAGGCAGTGCATGGCCCTGTGGGCAGGCAGAGCAGGGGGCAGGTGGGGCGGAGCAGGCAGGGCGGGAGGCGGAGCGGGGGGCGGGTTTTGGGCACTCGGTCTCTAAAAGGTTCGCCATCACTGCCCTAATTCAAATAATCATAGAATTAAAGAGCTGAGGATTATTGTTAGATAGGTATACAGGTATAAACTTAGAGTAAGATATTATTTTGTTATATAATTCTAATGTTATTTTAATTGTTAATTGGTATTTTATATGATATTTCTGTGTTTTTGTTTTAACTTAGAGTGAGAAGTTACTCTATTATATATTTGCATCTGTACTGAACAACATAGGAGGCTCTTTTTTCTTATCACTTTTTAACCTTCCCATCTTTTTAACTCTCCCCCAATTCTGTTTTTCTGATATTTTGCATTTTATCTTTCTTTGACACTTAATAAACTTGATTTTTTTAAAAAAGGTGAACATTCACCCACTTTAGTTTCATTCCAAAGAATCACTTTTATTTTTAATCCTGTTCATTCTTCTCCTAATTTCCCTTTGAACTGTTTTTCTTTTCTTCCATGATCATTTTTTCTTGAGATCCAATTTTGACACCAATCAAATAATGGGCACTCTAATTCAAAATTTCTCATGACTTTATATCCTTCACCGATTCTCTTAACCTTTACTAAGAGACTTTGCTTCAATCCCCAATTTGAAAGCCCCTGTTTCTAAGCAGGCATTCACCAGTCATGATTCTCATTCATTCTTGGGTCTTCCAAAGGCCCAATCAATTTTTCTATACTATTTTCTCTCATGGCAACTAATAGATTGTTTTTCCCCTTGGGATTGCATTACATGCATTCAGAATGTTGGACAGCTTTTCTCCAGACTCATCACAATATTAATTTAAAAATTCCTATTTTCATGCAATTGCACAGCAATATAAATGATCACAATTGTATGCTTTCTGACATATAACTTAGCCTTTTCTTTCTCAATAAATCTCATTTTCAGTCACTGCCTATATTCAACTCCATGAGATCATATCAGAACGGCTTCTAATTTCATAGAGCCACAACACATCTTGCCATTCTTTCATTTCATTCAGGCTTTTTACCGTTTATTCCTTTTACATTCCAAGTTACGTTGTATGTCAAAAATCAGATGGGCCCATAGATATCGATCTCCAGAGCCCACCATGATGTTGGTCAATTGAGGCTTCCTCATCATGCTTTTAGTATAATTGAAAAGGCATGAACTAGGTCACCAGTCTTAACTATGTCTGTGCCACATGCCGCATTCCCTGCTAATGTTAAGGAAATCACTGGTCAGTTTGGCCATATTTAACAGCCTCAACTTACAGCTGGTAGCTTAGCAACCATTTCAGTTTCCAACAATCTTACTTGGGGGGTTCTTATGACCCAGATTCCAAGTTCCAACTGTTAGGGCCCCCTGCAGTCACATGAGTGTACTTCAGGCATCCAGCAACTAGGCACATGTATGGCCATTCGTAGCATCCTGTGGTTATGTGATTGTATTTTATGAAGTTCTGCTGAAAGCCAACACTCCAGTTTTTGGCAAAACAGTGCCCATAGCAAACCATTGGTTCCTTTAACAACGGTGGAGTTCACTTAACGACCATAGATTTATCTCAAAAAATTCATAAAATTGGATCAGTCAAGTTTTATAATTGCCAGGAATTACAGCCATAATGGACAGGCTCCATTACAGCAGTAACTCAAGGACTATCTATATGCCACAACTGCAACCAAGCAGGCTCACATTATTCTATGCAAGTAGGATCTCTAAATCTAGAGATTGTCTTGCCCCACACCAACTAGGAGATATATGCAGTACATGGATGCACCTTTAAAATAGAGAAATGTTGTAAGAGGAGGCATCCTATCTTGTTAGCAGAGCAGAAATACTTGTGCATTTTTGGCTCAAAAAAATGACTCAGATATGATTGATGGATGCCATTCTTGGAGTCTAAACTTAGAATTGCAGGCAAAGTCATACGTTACACTTGAGGAATAGAAATAGACTCACAGAGTGAAGTACACCGGCATGGGTCATGCTTATCCAGATAGTGTTCCAGGGTGTCCCAGCCACCACCTACTCGGACCATTACATGATTCCGCAGGATCTAGACCAACCAAAAACACATGTGAGCAAAAGTCACCCTTCCATGATATCAGACGCCATCTTAGCCATCCTCGGCTTTTTTGAAGAGTGCACATCCACTGTTTGTTCTTTAAAATAAAGACTCACAGCCTTGGATGGGGACTTGCCTTTGCACATTCTTCCTGGAAGCCATGATTTTCTGCTTTCCATTACCCAGCTAATCAACTAAGCAAACAGCTGAATCTTTTCGTTAATAACAAGAATTAATTGATTTAACAGGATTACTAGAGGGAGTGGGAATAGACTTGAACTCCAGCCCCCCCCCCCATGAAAGGATAGGTTGACATCACAATCCCTTGGTGGAAATTCTGCCTCCATGGTTGGGAAAGGAGCTTCCATATTTGAGCTGCAAACATCCAGGTGATCATTAGACGGCATAGTGGGTTAGAAATTTCAAATAATCTTTGCTGCCATTTAAGGTAGAAAGGGTGAATGTAAAAACAACAGAATAATGGTTTGTTAAGTATGCTGGGAAAGCGCTTGGTATAATTCTGCTGGACAGGTTATGAGAGGTGACAGTAAGGAAAATTTAGGAAGGGAAGTGGGGTTTTATGCTGCTGTGAGGTTGCACAGCCCACATTTTTGCTTTGCAGTAGAAGAAGACTGCTGAGTGCATTAAGATGGTGTATGGGAAAAGGAAAACATTCGGGGGAATAAAAGCATGAATGGAGAGATACAGTAGATTTAGCTATATTTCATTTTCTTATTTTGTGCCTTTCATTTCTTTGGCTTACTAATTCTTATTCTCTTTTAGTGATCTACATAATCATTGCATGCTTTGAAAAGAAATCATATGTTCAATGTGGCTGTGGATGAGAGCAAGTGAGTCAGGGCTGTCCTCAGACTTTGGTCAGAAAAGTCAAGAGGACAATTGTGACAGAATGATTGAAGCTGCACCTTCTAAAATGTATCTTGTAGATGGAAGGCAAAGCTTTGACCATCAATGTCACCATCTTAAATGTCTATAGAGATTCTCAGTAATCCAGGTCATTATTGTCACCAAGGTGCTTTTTTCCAAAAGGCAATTGGATTTTCTTTGGTTTTTTCCTTGAAGACATTTTGCTTTTCATCCAAGAAGCTTCTTTAATTCTGACTGAAGGATGGGAGGATTTATGTTCCTGTAGTCATCTGATCATTAGCACTCTCTCTCTGAGAGTCATTGAGCCCACTTGGGGGTTTATTGGTGCCTTCAGGATCACCTGAATCAGAGTGCAAATGGGTGTGGAATGTTCTTGGAATAGATGAAAGTTCCATTCAGTTAGAATTGAAGAAACTTCTTGGATGAGAAACGAAACACCTGCAAGGAAAAACAAAGAGAGTCCAGCTGCCTTTTGAAAAAGCATCTTGGTCACCATCTTGACTTTTTTTGACCTTACCCTGTGAACACCCCTGTATTGAAGGATACGTTTAGGTTGCTTTCATTTTGTATATGCAAGTGGTTTTTTTCTCAGCACAATGGATAGACCGGACTGTCAGGAGTTATTTGTTCATTAAAGGAGATTGCTATTGGCAGATTTTTACTCCGAGGAGCTCAACATGTGACGTTCCGTAGAATTCTTGCTTTCTGAAAGGTAATGTTTAAGCTTGGCTCACCCTAACAAAGATGAGAGTGTTGGAATCACCGATGCGATACTTTCCCTCTGAGACTTTGACCATGGAGAACTGAACTGGACAGGTGCATCGGCTAACAAGGTGCTGGACCTCCAGGGAAAACCAAAGAAAAAATCATAAAGATCTTAGTAAAGGCATCAAGTAAACTTGCCTTGAAGTTGAAAAACCCCACCAGAAGTATAATTTTAAAGAAAAAAGGACTTTTTGTGTTGTTTAGATAATTATCCACTGAACTTTGTTACTCAGTTAAATCAATTTATGAATGTACAGGTAGTCCTCGTTTAGCAACCACAATTGGGACCAGCAACTCATTTTTTAAGTGGAACATTATGATTTTAGAATCTTTCCTTTGCTTTAAAGATCTGCAAGGGTCATCCAAGGACTGGTTGCAAAATTTATTTTTTCATCACTGCCGTAATGGTGAACGGTTGCTAAATGAGTCAGGGACTAAAAGAAGACTACCTGTATATAGTCTTCTTACTTGGCACACAGATCAGGGCAGTACACACCATGAATAACAGTAAGAATCAATAAAACTATGTTATAAAACTAAATATAAAAAACATCCGCAAATGCCTAAATGCTGGGAGTAAAAAACCTCATCCAGCAGCTTGTGCTCATTCAGATGTAATGCCAGAAGGAAAAAATGGGTCCTTAATGCATCTCAAAGGCAGAGTGGGAGACGAACAGAGTCAAGAGTCACTCATTTGAAATGGCTAGTATAGAAATGTAATGAATGAATGAATGAATGAATGAATGAATGAATGAATGAATGAATGAATGAATGAATGAATCTGAATCCGAATCTGAATCCTATCAGACAACATCACCTAAGCATGTAACCATGTGAGAGTTTTCTGGATGGGAAGTTACTTCTGGAGATGGACAATTCTCAACTTATGACTGTTGTGACATACAGTAGAAATCCCAGGCTTTATTATGGTCATAGGTTGACGTCTACATATACAAATACAGCCTTGGTGTCGTTAGATTGCCAAAGTTTAACTGGGAAAGGGCAATTATGTCTATATTATTGAAACCAAAATAAGTCAAATGTGTTGCAGAATATTTAAAATAATAGAGCAAATAATATAATGGATTTGCATGGAAACTTTCACAGTTGATCCAAATATTTTAACTGATTAATAATAATTTATTACAATTATATGCCAACTGACTCCCAGTAATTCCTTGTGGTCTCTCATTCACCAGCCAACCAGGTCTGACTCTGCATAAGGAATAGCCAAGGCCATCTAGATGCTCTCCCCTGTTGCATGGCCTTTTTAATAGGGAGCTCGTCACTAGCCCTCATTTGAAAATGTCAGATGGATCCATGCCTTCTATGGGAGGCAGTAAAAGAATCAGAATAACTAAGAGTTATTACTAGACATCTCCACAAATTCCAGTTTCGTAGATTGAGGATGAGAGATTTAAAAACTATGAACCAAAAGGATACTGACACTGGAGCCAGTATGGGGAAAGTCTTTAGTGGCACTAATACATTTTCTGTTCCTGATCCTCTGGAGTTAGCCTTAAGTTTAAACATCCTGACTTTTCACATGTAACTCGTGTCTAGCCATTCTTAAAGACTCTCGTACCATCTGGTCCAGATTCTTGAAGTTAGGAGGTTCTCTCTTGGGCCGGGGAAGAAGCGTTTCATCCGGTGGCAGGTTCATGTCCTCACGCATCTCATCCTCAATGTCTTCCTCCATTTGGATGAGGACAGGAGCGCTCATGCCAAAACGAGAAGCCCGCCGGGCTACCTCCAGAAGACACAAAACAAAGTTCTTCTCGTTCTTGCGCAAGACCAGGTCCTCCGTCTCAAACATCAGGACATCTAAAAGACAACAGAGAGGCTGAACGCAGTGAGGAGAAGAAAGATGGAGAATCGCTACAAGATTCTCTCAGAGAAAAGATGGAAACCCAGGAAGAGTTGAGTAAGAAACAAAATGACTAACTGGATTTGCTTTGGTTGCAGTGCCTCGGGGTCACGTGATCAACATCTGCAACCTTCCCAGCCAACTTACAGCAACCAAAGTCAATGGGGAAAGCTGGATTTGCTTAATGACTACAATCTTACGATTTGCTTAACCACAGCAGTGATTTGCTTAACAACCATGGCAAAATAAGACTGTAAAATAAAGCACAACTCACTTAGCACAGCCTTGCTTAGCAATGGAAATCCTGGTCCCGTTGGTGGTCATAAGTCAAGGACTACCTGTATGTTACTATCCCAAACACCATTTCTACAATCCAATCCCAATGTACTGATTCTTAGAATTATGTATTTATTTATTGTGTATCATATTATAATTATTTGGTTTCACTGAACTGGAGCAAAATACTAATTGTCTAAGCGTATTGTAAAAAAAGCATGGGATGTACTCAAAAGAATGCTCAGGGAGGCATGCCCAGAACTAAAAATAATGACTTAATAACTTAAATGGTCCGCCTGCAAGCCATTCTTCTACTGAAGAAGAATGTGGCTCCTTGCCAGTCTTCTGAATTAAATATTAACAAAATCCACATCATGGCTGCCATCTAGCAGGCTGGGGAATGCAGGCGATGCTCTGCATATGGAGCCCCCTTTTTAAAAACAAAACAAAACCTGACACTAATGGCAAGCAGATAAAGCAGGCGCTTCTGGAGCTGGAACCAAAGAGAAGGTCATACATGACCTGCCCACTTGGAATGTTGTGTTCTGGGTGCTAATGTAGCTTTTCCCCTTCAGCTATTTATCTATATTGATTGGATAATAGCTACCGTTATCATTTGCAGCCAGCATGTTTTTCCCACTTTTGTGAATCATAGATGTTACTGCCCAGATCATCTGATGGATACAAAACCCAAAGAAGATTATGTATGTATGTATTTATTTATTTATTTATTTATTTATTTATTTATTTATTTATTTATTTATTTATTTATTTATTTATTTATTTATTTGATGTTTTTTAATTGTTTTGCTTTTTTTAAAATTAATTTAACTGCTTTATAGTTTTTTGGGTTGCAAGCTGATCAGAGTCTGGTTGAGATAGGCAGCTATAGAAATTGAATAAATAAATAAATAAATTTAGATAGATAGATAGATAGACAGACAGACAGACAGACAGACAGACAGACAGACAGACAGACAGATAGACATACAGATAAATGCTTATGATTCTAATTGAGATTTATTTGCCTCCTTTGATGGCCAAGAGTTTTTTGACAACTCAACAAGCTTTTCTCATGGTAGTTTTCAACCATTTAGTATTATTCACAGATTCTGAATTTGGGGGCTCCACATAACCATGATTGCTATAGCTTTGGCTCCTGTATTGTCCTTCATGAATTGTTCTAAGTGCCGGACAAAGCAGTCCAGCAGAAGAGTGAGAGAAAGCCAATGGAAATGGTGGAAGAGTCAAAGCATCTCCAAATGCATGCCAGACAATGAGAAAATGAGAGAACAGTTGCAAAAAAGGTAAGTTGCCTTCCTATTCAGGTATATATAACGGAAAGTGAAGATCTTAGGATTCAGCCTTTAAATCTTAGAATGCTCCTTTTTTTCTCACTATTTTTCCTAACGGGAAATGTATGGGACAGAAATAAGAAAGAACAGGGCTTCAGTCACTGGTGGCCAACATCTTGACCTTTTTGACCCCCATGTTTCCCCATCGGGACTGAAGCTCACTCAATTGTCCACCTGCTTTTCATGAAAAACATTAAAAAATGACTTTAAAAAAACCAAACCAAAACCACAGTATAAAGTAGCTAAGAAACAAAAGAAATCAGCAGTTTCACACCAAAACAATACACATTAAAAATATCTTATTAAAATGCGGGAACAAGATACCAAACATTTCACCCCCTCTATTTTGTCAGGGGAAAATCCAACAGAGGAAGCAGAGATAGGTGAAACACAATACAAATAAACATTCCACACAATTTAAAAAATGCTCACTTTAAAATTTAGTCGTTCAGGTCTTCTAGTTTCTACCTGCACTTAAACTATGTGTTAACTGATTTTCTAAATCTCCATTCTTGAAGATTTACATTATATCCCCAATTTAAGGAGAGTTAATTTCTGGTTAAAAGCATCTACAGCTGTCATCCTGAATTGCAAACACTGCTCTTTCTGATGGCAACAAATAATTTAATAGGAAGCTGACAATGGAAGTGGATCATGGGGGTAAAGGCCAAAGAAGGGAATTAGACTGTAAGGATATTTCTCTTTTCATTAATTTGAGTATGAGTGTAACCAAATTTCCAGAACAAATCTAAGGACAGAGGAACACTAGGACAGAGGAATTCAGTCATCTTCTGCTTTTTTTTTTCTAACAGAGTTCATGAGTGTATACTGTATATATAATATTTTAAAGTATCATGCAAAGCACTGTTCTAAATAAGTTTAGTTTGGATTTTAGAAAGATATGGTTAACAATTGAACAGATGATCCACAAATCGATAGAAAAGACAAAACACAAGGAATGAAAAAGGAAAGTTAAGAAAGGAAAGCAAAAGAGTATTCACATTTTAATCATTCAAACAATTTGCTTTTAGCAATTTTTTCTTACAGCATTGCACAGTATATCGATTCAAATCTGTGTACCTTTAATATCCATCTCTTTTCGGCACCACTGAATAAAGTTGGACACATTGTCTCGAGCTTGGAACGTGCCTGGCTGAGCAAAATCATTACAGGTTACACCATATATGGGAAGTTGGAGTTTTTTGCCCAAACTTGGATATTCCTGGTTGAGGTCTCTGGCCACCTGGGTGATGTTGTTAGCGTGATGACAAAGAAGGACACCTGTTTCCAGGACATCCAGAAAAGATCTCACATCAATGCCGACATCATAGAGTTCCTTAAGCCATTCTGCCAGGTCCTCCTTCATGGCATACAAGTATTGTCCGCTTGTTTTGTAGGGGCGGATGCTTCGCACGCTGGCATCCTGGATCCCAGACATTTTCCTGGCAGAATCCCTGATGGAGCTTTGCCTGTAATCCGCTGAGCTGTTTTTAGAGTTTTAGCTGTTTTCTTCTTGTTCAACCCATCATTAGAAATATGTCCAACCACTTATAGCATTAAGAACCCACCTCGTCGATCTTTTTAAAGGCAAGGTTTACATACCCATCTCCCACTCCCACAGGATTTCACAGAATCAGGAAAGACCCAGGTAGGTGGATTCTTATGCTCTTCTGAGAGATCTTCTCAAAATGATCTCTATCTCTATCTCAGCATTTTGGTGTCTTCATGCTATCAGCTACTTTAGAAGGAGGATACATGCTTGAACCCTTGCTTTCCTCTTAAACCAGAAGTCTCAGCTATTCTTCTATTTTAAAAACATAAGGGTTTTTTCAGAATTTTGGAAGCAGGATCCAGAAAAAGAGGAATCTCCTAGCATGCCCTGATCAGTGTTTTGCTGTGTTTCCACTTTGAAGTTCTCTTCTCTTCTCCTTGGTGACAGCAGCTCTCTACAAAACACTCCCTGTTAACCCTGATAGATCAAATGTCGCTTTGCTTCAGCTGGAACAAACATTCTCTATGAATGTGGGGAGGAGGGGGGGAACCTGACTCTTGGAAACATGAGTAAAAGGAGTTATCAGTTGATTGGTATTTTTGATTTCTGACTGATTCATAAGGGACAGGCACACATTTACACCTCAACTGACCCAGCATTATTGTGTTTGCAAAAAACATTACAGGTGACATCTATTGTTTTCTTCTTGACATTTTCCAAGCAATGGTATACTTGGGAGGGTGGCAAACATCTAAAACCTGCTCGGTTTCCAACGTACATCCCATTTGCAGGAAAGGAATGGGAAAAGTTTTGTACCCAAATGGTTTTAGCAATGAATGCCAGCAAGCCAGAGCAAAAGAGTCAGGGAAATTATGGATGAGATTCGATGTAGCATGCAGAGGGAGGCAAAGAAAAGAACCGGGCATTCTTTTTGCCATTTTTGCCAGGCTCCCACAATTAGCTATGTAGGGAGGGGCTACATGTGGCTTGTGGAATGTCTCTTGCAATAGATAGGTTGAATGATGAGTAATTAATTAATTTTTTATGCTCTCCCATAAAGTGGAAATACATAGTTTGAGGATGCTTTCACTTCTGAAATTGAGCACCTTTTCTCAACTATGTTTGTTGTGTTGACCATGCCCCTTCCTCGAAGAAAATGGCTTTAAAAACAGAGTGCTGTATGTGACAATAACTCACACAAAGCTCTTCATGTGCCTGGTCTGGAAACATCAATTATTATCAAGTATAGCAGCTGAGTCGGTCTCTGGAAGAATTCAAAGACTTCTTGGAGTGATCTCAAAGCCTGAAGCCAGTTGGAAGGATGCAGAGGAGATGGCTGTGGTCTATCTTGCTGCATGAGTTTGACCCCGTGAATATTGAGGAAGTGGACAGGATCTTCTGCTATATCAGCTCAGTCACTTGCAGTCTGGACCTCTGCCCCTTCTGGTTGGTGACATCCTGCAGGGAAGTGAAGGATGAGCTGGTTCGTAGGGTGGTAAATGTGTCCTTGGGAGAGGAAGTGAAACCATCACTTGACTGAGTAATATTTGGGGGAAGGTTGTGGAGAAAGTGGTTGGGCTGCCATTGCAGAAGGCCCTGGAGAAAACAGACAATCTGGAGTCATTTCAGACTTCCATTTCAAGCATTATGATGCTTATTGGTGATCTCTAGTGGGACCAGGATAGGAATAGTGTGACAGTCTTTTTGTCCCTTGGTCCTTCAGCCATTTTCAATACCTTTGATCATGGTACCCTTCTGAGTTGTCTTCAAGGATTAGAGTGAGGTCAGTTGTATACTGGTTCTCCTTCCTGATAGAACAATTTTGGAGGGGAACATTGAACCCTAGACCTATTAATGGGAGGGAGGTAGCACAGGGCTTGAGGTTCTCCCCATTCATATTCAATATCTACACGAAACTGCTGGGTGTAGCATTGTCAGCAGCATGGGGTGAGGTTTCCTCAGTATACTGATGATACTTAACTGTACATCTTAATCCCTGGGAAAGAAGTGATGCTGTCAAAGTGCTGTCTAGGTGCTTGGAGGCTTTCCAGATTTGGATGCAGACGAACAGACTGAGGCAAACCCAGCAAGATTCAACCCAATGAGATTCCATTGTTAACTCTGAATGGGCAATCTTCCTGCAGGTAGAGCTGATTCATAATCTGGGGAACTTCCTGGACTCACAAGTTTTGTTTAAGAGCAGGGGGCAGCTGTGGCTAAGACAACCTTTGCACAATTCCATCTCGTGTTCCAATTGTAAGCTTTCCCAGAACAGCAAGTATTACTCACTGTCAATCATGCCTTAGTCACTTCTCAAGTGGATCATTAAAATATGTAGTACATGAAGCTGTTCTTGAAGAGTGTTTGGAAGCTACAGAATGCAAGTAGTGATGGACACACCTCAAGGTGACACCTCTGCTCAGAGTTGGCTTCTGGGGACAATTCAAGATGCTGATTACCACTTTTAAAGTCCTTCACGTCTCAGAGCCTAGAGTTTGAAATACTTCCTTCTCCCAGCAGCATCTGTCTACCTGATAAAGTCCAGTAGGGTAGATTCACTAGATATCCCCTCAATTAGAAAGTGTAAATTTCAAGGGCCACATAAGTATGCTTTCAGCCACCAATAGAGCTCCTCTGAAAACTGGTTACTTCTTTCCCTTCTGGCTTTTTAGGAAGCTGATGAAAACCTTGTTCCACCAAGCCTCAACAATTGAGGTAATTGTCTTCTGATGAGATTAGCTTTGTTTTCATTATCATTAATATTTTTATTAGTGATTCCCATATTTTAGTGGCTGTTCTTTAAACTGATCGTATGTTTTCCTAATTACAGTTACATATTGGGGAGTTGTTCTTGGCAGGAATAGCATGATCTATAGGCCTTGCAAATAAATAAATATAAAAAAATTTGTGGAAAGCGTCACTCTAGTTAGAAATGTGTATCCCAATGACATAAGGTTTTATTTCCTATAAAGCTCTCTATGGCTTAGATCCAACTTATTTCCTTCTCTGTGATCCTTTGCTCCACCCACAACACACACACACACACACCACACCACACAAAACAGTTTATCTTGATCTGATTCTTCTCTTTAAATGTTTCTCTGGAACACTGGAACATACTTTCTACTGAATTGAGAAGACCTAGTGTAGCTCTTTTTCATCCTTTTTTCATCCTTTAAAAGGGGTCCTAAAAGATATCTTTTGAAATGAGCTTTTAAGAATATATTGTTTTAGAAATGTTTTTAATACTTTTTATTTTAAATCTTAATTTTTATATATACAGTATCACTGGGAGACCAGATTAGTCCACTGTGTAACAAGTTCAAGAAGTAAAACATGTAAGTTATCAGTATCCTAAGGAGATGGTAAGGAAGGTTATTGAATGGCAGAGCTAAAAAAATAAAATCTACCTAGGTTTCTTCCTAAATCTGCTTCACCACAAAGAACCATAATTCAAGAATAAATTACATGCAAAGTTCTCAGAGTTGCACTCTAATTAATTAAGAATCTTCTGTAGAAATCTTTGTTTATTGTGGGTATTAGAGTGATGCTGTCAACTGGAGTTATCAGTTAGATGAACTTATATATTCATCAGGAGTTGTCTTTCAATTTAGCACCAAAAATCCCAGCTTCAAATTGGCACCTCCAGTTAATAGATCTGAACAATCTGCATGTGTTATCTGAGCTGTCACCCAGGTAAAAAAATTCTTGGGTAATTTAAATTAACATTTTCAGAGGGCACAGTTCTTGGACTACTACAACCAAATGTAATCAGCATAGCACACAAGCCAACTAAAGCCCTTCAAAACATCCTAAGCAAACCAAAAGACCCAGCAATGCCATAAGAAAAAACAGGAGTCACCTCAACATATAATGTAAGAACTGCAACAACCACTATGTAGGACAAACAGGCAGAAGATTGGCAGAACGCATCCATAAACAGCAACTGGCAGTCAAAAGGCATGAGGAAAATTCTTTAATTTCACAACATATAGACAGACTTAACCATAGTTTCAACTGGGAAAATGTGACAATCCTAGACCAGGCCAAGCCCAAAAATGCCAGAGAATTTCTAGAAGCCTGGCACTCTGACAAATTAGCCATCAATAGACACATAGACATCAACAACATCTATAGACTATGCAAAAGAGACTATTACCCAGCCCAAAAGGGAACAAAAAGACCCAAGCACCTCTCCACCAGCAATCAGCACCTGGATCAGCATAGATTAACTCCAAGGTTAACATCAGACCAACAATCAAATAAACAATACCCCAATCAAGAAACTATCAAAGAAGCCAACAGCAAACACCCCAACCAAATAATCTCTAAGACCACCCCCAACAACACTGATAGGCAAGCCATCAGGATATAAATTGACAGCAAACAGCACTCCTAGCTAGCACTGATGATGTTACCTGGTTTGGGTAATGAAACATCTGCAAGAAAACAAGCAAGCTCAGAGAGCACCAAGGACCCCTCATTACTATTTCCATTCTGCAAAAATCTACATAACCATCAGATGGCAGCAGAGAGGTACAGGAGGTCCTTTGCTGGTATCTAGTGGTTCTCCATGTATTGGCAACCCAATTCTCATAGACCTAAGGAAAGTACAGTATATATTCTTTATGTAGAAAGACCTGCTTCAATTCCTGGCATGCCCTCTGAAAGCCTTAGGAAGAAGGAGATGGGCAGTTAAGAAATACGAAAAAAATATACAAACAAACACTATATCAGACAGAATAGATAATGGATATATTCATATTTTCCAAGGAAGGTACATTCACACTAACCATTATGCTTGGTTAATGTTCATTAAACATTAACAAAACAACAACTGTACTGGTTTTGTGTGAACTCGGCCCATCTGATTAACTTATGGGTCAAGATATTGTGTGCATCCAGCGAATGGGTTAATGTAATAATAGACTGTATGAATGCTTGAAGAATAAACTATCAAACTCAAACAAAGTAGTTCCTGATGCTAATTTCATAATTCCCAATTCCTAACCCATTTGCCATCAGTATGCATGGAAACTTCTGATCTTATATGGAAGGAAGGAAGGAAGGAAGGAAGGAAGGAAGGAAGGAAGGAAGGAAGGAAGGAAGGGAGGGAGGGAGGGAGGGAGGGAGGGAGGCTCTAGAGCCCATTGTTCAGATTCTCAAGTCATTCTAAGAATAGCAGTCCCAGCACCATGGGTTACTAGGTTAA